GAATGGTCTCCCATTGGACATTGACACTGCCTTTGGGAAGAAATTGACGATGGAACTCTTCTGGAGAATATTTGGGTATGATGCCACTTAAATGTTGCTAGTGAGTTTAGGTATTTGGGGTATTTTGTATAATTATATGCCTTGTTTTTATTTTGTTGCAAGCTGCCAAGAGTCAGTTTAGGTACAAATTTGATAAATGAATAAATAGTGTTTCCTATTTTTACTACCTAACATAAAGTCTGTTACCTAAGATAAAGTCTATTACATAAAGTCTCCTTCAAAGATTAATTCCTGGTGAATTCACGGACATGTCCATATAGGGTTTTCTTTGGCAGCAGTATAGAAGTGGTTGCCAATGTCTTCTTCAGAGATCTGTCTTTTTCAGATTCCCACTCAAGCCTACAGCTGTTGTATTTCCTGGTAGCCTCCCATCCAAGTGTTAATTACGTTAGTACTATATATAGTTTTACAAGATAGCCACAATAACTAGGTACTACCACTAGCTGAGCTAAAGTAGCGTAGTATTTTTTTAAAATAATTGCCTTTTGAGCCCTTCTGTATATTTCTAACATGCAGTGAATTATACAGAGGTGTTGTCAAGAGAACAAGAGAAAAAGAAGGTTGTCCAAATAATGAAACATGGCTATGACCTTGTACATCTAGAAGCAAAAAATCACAATAGTGTATAATAGATACATAATTGAGAATGGTATCCTTCAAGACTGCCTCTGTGTGATTGCTGTGGAGGACATCCAGAGACCTCCATTCTGTGGAATGCCCCAGGACTCTCTATTCCTTGGAATCATGAAAAGTCTAGGGGAGTCCATCTGTCAGCATGAGGTCTGATATATCAATATGATCATACTCAGGTATATATCTGAGCTCCAGGCCAAATAGGTGATGCAACAGAAGTGCTGGCCCACTATCTGGAAGCTCTGGGGTCTGGATGGGATAGAACACATTCAGACTGTCTATAGACAAAAGGAGTTTGGGTTGGTGAGTCAAATTATTCCAGGGAAATACTATCTTTGACTCTGAATAGAGTTGTACTTATTTAGAGGTGATTTGTAATTTGGGCGTGTTTTTGTACTCCCAGCATTTACTTGATCAGCAGGCAACAGCTGTGGCCAGCAGAACCTTTGTATAGTTACTAGGCAACCTGTGACCTGTTGGATCATTGTTTCAGAGATATTTCCTTATCTAAACAGAGACAGAATGACCAAGGGCAGGCAAAAAAGTAGTGAAAGTGGGAGTGACTTCCAACTTCCTGCTGGCTTCCCCATTGACTTTGCTTATGGGAAGTTGGCAGGGAGCATCGGCAATCGTGATCAAGTTTAGACTTCCTGCCAACTTTTCCGCTGACTTGTGGGGAGCTGTCAGAAAGCGATGGAAATGATGATTATGTTACGGTTGCTGACTGCAGCAGCGTGGTGGTACTGAACCAGCCACAATTTTGCCAAATTTCAATCCCAAAG